GATATGAACCAAACAATGGTGAAAAATGACTCATTTGGCATCCCAAATTTTTCGGTTCTGGTTCGTTCAATATATTAATATTTTTTGTTGTTGGAAAGAGCATGTCAAGCTGCAGAGCATGATGAGGCCCTTTTTTTGAAATAGTCCTATTTTAAGCGCAAAAAAGGGATCACAACTTCAATAATTCAAAAAAGTGTCAAAAAATGGTAACCAAATCATATAACTGGCTGTATATTGACTAAACAAAAGCTTAATAAAAAAAAAGGGCCTTATCATGCCCTGCGCCTTGAGACGGTCTTTAAAACAAAACAAAAATATTAATGTATTGAATGAACCAGCGCTTTTGAGAAAGCAGAAACTGAGAAAAAACGAAAAACATTTTTTTATTTTTCAAAAAAATAGCTGGTTTTTCGAATATGGGTTGACGAAAATCTTGACAATTTTTTGGGAAAAATGAAGTAACGAGAAAAACAAATTATCGTTTATGAAAGAGCAGATGATGGGCTATCTTCCCATGTATTTATCTCAATTTCGGAATTTTTGACGAATATTGACTTTTTCTGAGGAGAATCTTAAAAAAAGTTCTACTATAACGAATTATTGTGAAATAAAAAATATATAATTTTGTTCAGTTTTGAATGCTCTTTCTAACGGTATACTTTAAAGTCAAATATATATGAAAAATTTATCTGTAGTTATTAATTAATTTAATTAATTAATTAATAATATTAAATTATTATAACTAATCATTAAGGAAAACATTTGTATACCAAAATGTAGCCCGTTCAATTCTGCATCTGATGGTATACTTTTAAAGATTTTCTTTATTTCCACTAACGAGAAAATCGACGAAATACTAAAAGTGTCTTAAACTTTTGCCTATTGAAGAAAAATTGCAGTTACTTCTATTTCTTTATTCCGCAATCAATTAGATCAAGGATTGATAGTTTCTATAGACCTTACCTATGGCTACATATGGCATTCAAAGATGTCTCTTACTTTCTTTGTTTTTAGAAAAATCACAAAGGTTGAAGGTGTCTTAAACTTTTGCTGCCCACTTTAAATAACGATGATTGTGAATTATATCGCATGTGTAGAACAAAATGAACTTCTTTTTCCCAAAAATTATTTCGTTATCTTTATTTGATGTTTTTAATATAGCATCTATTAGATATTTATCTTCAAAATTTGTTAATAATGATTGACCATTAGCCAAAATAATTGTCATCGGATTACATATCAATGTTAGTTCCACTAGGATCAATAGATAATGGCTCATGTTTTATTTCAATATCATAAGGTTTGACTTAGTAATTTTCAAGAGTTAAGGTATATCTGATGGTAGTTGCCGAATAGAAATTTTCTTTGCCTTGATTTTAGTAGTACGTGTTGTTGGCATTGTCTTGATCTACACAGAATGAAGAGTTATTATGTATACTCTTTAGTTCTTATTAAGTTGAATTTTCTATAGAATTTAGATTAACTTGTGATTGATATTATTTCATATCAATAAACGACTTGCAAAGCATGACAACAGTTAATTAGTCATACTCGATTGTTTCATTTTTTGTTTGTTTTTTCTGCTCTTCTTCTTTGGACAGCTTCATTGCCATTTCACTTTTGGTTTGAATCAATTGAATGAATCAGTAACGAAATGATGAAACGAAGCAAGCAAGAATCTTCAAGAAATCATATCTGATTCGATAATAGCTATCGAGTTGCTTAAGATCATACAAATGAAATTTACAATTATAGATAGAATATTGAGTATGAATATAAATTAAGACGTTTTTTGATATTTTTAATTTATTTATGTAAGCATAATGAATATCAATCTTGGTTAGACGTATTTTTTTGAGTTTTCATTCATATTAGTTTATTTCATTTTTTAATAATATATTTTATACCAGAAATAAATTAAATTTTTTTTTGAATTCTATGGTCAATAAGAGATAGTCTGAAGAAAAATCGAAAAAAATAAAAAGCAACTTCTACATATTTAATTTTTTTTTGTTTGTTGTGATATTGTATGATATTGAGAATATTTTTATTTGATGAGGAAAATCATTATTGATTACTTTGTAGACAGAATAGTAATAAACATCTAAAAATGAATGAAATTATTCAAAATGAAAGACAGCTGTCGCAAAAAAATTGGACACATTATCGAATAGATTACGCTTCATTAATTCTGACTAATGAAACTAAGTATTGAAAAGGTTTTTTTTTCATTGAAACGTTGTCTATATACTGACGTGGAAGGGAAACAATATTTTTTTTTACCTGTGTATTTGTATATTCGAACAATTGTTGTGGTGTATACAGTCAAAAAAACATAATCCATGCACATAGCCTCACCATTCAAAAGAGAAAATACATGTGCGAGAACAGGACAGAAACTGAAAGAAGGAAAAGAGATGAAGCACAGAATAGTCGATAAAGACACCTTTTTCTATTGTATTTTTCATTCGAAATTTTGTGCATATTTAGGATAGAGTGGCTTAAGCAGCGTCTTTTACGCACCATTGATTAAATGAGTTACGTTTAATTTTTGATTTCTGACCAAACTGGTTGTTGTTTATCGATTGTAACACATTTCTATGAATCATTTATATTGTATCAAAACATTAAAGGTATATAAAAGAAGAATAATCTTTTAGGCTAGACTAAAATTGTAATTGATCAAAAACTATCAATGTCTACTGATACAGCTGTTGTTAACAATTCAAGGACTCCATCAGAACATGATGCTAGTAAACGAGTACTGTATTGTACTAAAGTTTTTTTCAAACAACTGATTGATCGTAAACCAATGGAAACATTACAAGCTGAAATTGATACACAAAATGAATTGAGACGTGATCTAAGTTGAATTCAATTACTTGCTATAGGTATTGGTAATATTATTGGTGAGTAAGATTGAAAATAAAACATATGGTGACAGTTTTCAGTCTTCTTGTCAGGTTTCTGAACATTTGTATTGAGTGGACAAGCTGCTGCAAAATATGCTGGCCCACCAGTCATCATTTCATTTATTATAACAGGAGTTATTGCTGTATTGACGTCTTTATCATATTCAGAATTAGGAGCAATGATGCCTAGTTCTGGATCAGCTTATACATATGCTTATGCAGGTGAGTTCGTGATCGTATAACTATCTTGCTTTTATGAATATTTTTTCTATTGTTTTAGCCTTGGGAGGTAGACAATCAAAAGTATCGTTATAATAAGAGATTAGTTTTTTCTTATGCATTATAGAATATTTGGCATGGTTTATTGGATGGAATTCTGCACTACTTTATCTATTCGCTGTTTTGGCACTGTCAGTTGCTTGGAGCAACCATGTTGTCCTATTTATTGATATTGTGTCTGATTATTATTCAACAAGCATGATTGTTCAAGCACCAATGGCTTGGAACGAAGACGCTGAACGTTTTTTTGTCATTGGTCAAGCGATTAATTTACCTGCTATTGGGATTATTATTGCAATTACAATTCTACTTTTTATTCGAACTTGTCAAATGGCTATGGTCAATCTTGTGTTGGTTGTGTTTAAAATTATTGTACTTTTAATATTAATTTTTGCCTGTTGTAAGTATGTAAATCGCAATAATTATAATCCATTTTTTCCACTGAATAAAGGTATACAGTTGTGTTATTAATATATCTAAGAAATGAATGAATTTCATTGCGTGTCTAAGGTTCGTTTAGTGAATATGGAGCAACAGGTATTCTGCATGCATGCACTTATGTTCTCTTTGCTTATGGGGGTTTTGATTCAGTTTCAAAAGTAGCACAAGAAGCAAAGTCACCAGAAAGATCATTGCCAATAGCCACTATTGGGTCTACAATTGTTTCATTACTATTGTATATTGGAATATGTACTGTGATGGTTGGATTTGTTCCATACGAGTTATTAAATTCAGCGAGTCCTCTTTCTGTGGCAATGTAAGTTACTACTAAATTTTTAGAGAATATCAGTGGTACTCATTGTCATTTTTCTAGAAAAGCTACACCTTACGGTCTTTGGTTATCAATTATTATGAATTTAGGTGCTATCGCTGGTCTTACAACTGTAATATTGACTGCAATGCTCTCACAGACTCGAATATATTATGCTATGGCTCATGTTGGTTTACTACTACCCATCTTTGCAAAAATTCATCCTCAGACAACAACTCCATGGACCTCTATATTGATTGGCGGTGACTATTCTTTTAATATAATTTATACGATAAAACTTATCTACAATTTTTAGGTATATTTTGTACTATTCTTCCGGATATTTGTCCAGTAGATATTCTTGGTGAAACAGCTTCAATTAGCGCCCTAATTACATATGTTTTTGTGCATATTACGATTATAGTCGTAAGTTCAATAAATCCGTTTCTGTATTTTAACATCTGAAATGTCTTGAATAGATGCGTTATACACATAGAGATATACAACGAGTATTTCAAGTGCCATTTGGTTCATGGTTGATTCCGACTATAGGTTCTTTACTATGTATCCTTGTTATGACAAATATAAGAGAAGCAACAGGTTTTCGATTCCTTGTGTGGACAGCATTAGGACAAATTATTTATTTTTCTTATGGTTTATGGCATTGCAAACGACGAAAGTTAATGAAAAGTAACTCTCTTGTAAATACGGTCAAACTTTTACCAATAGAAGCAAATGCTACGGAAGAAAGTGCAATAACTGGATTTAAACTGGATTTAGGCAGTGTAAAGGCTGAAAGTGCAGCATAAAATAAACTTTCTTTACTAAAATTTGTAGACATCAAAATAAAACGCTGGAGTTAGACTAAGAGGTAAATTATAACATTTTTTTCAATTTGATTTAACATAATAAATGGTTCATTATCAAGTATATAAGCATTTTATTGTAATATTCACCTTGAGAGTACAAAGTCTGCACTATCTTCGTAAATATTGTTTATTCAAATTTCTGAATAAAACAATATTATCTTTTCACACATTTGTTTGCAACATTAAGCATTCGATTTGATTTACGTAACCAATTGAAAGAATTTTTGTTGAAAGTGGAATGAATTCTTTTACCTTCTCATTATTACTTCAGTAAAATAAAATATGAATGCATGTTTTGGAAATTACAATGAATTGATCAAGGAAATAATCAATTATAAAATTTTCATTAGAAGAAGTGTTATTTTTGGAAAGAACACAATGCAAAAAACTGTGGAATGAACAAAAATGTGACTTTGGAATATTGCGTAGTCAAAACAAAGAAATTTTAAAAAGTTGATTCCTAGTTACGAACATTTAATTTGTAACATAAAGCATATTAAATAAAAAGTACTATTCATAAATTGAACTAAATTTTGAGAGAAGATAAATTTTTATTTCAAAGTTCAATATTCACTTTGCCGTTTGTATTGCCAATCGAAACGACTACTAATAAAAGTGATGAATCAAAATCTTCTTAGAATTTTTCGTAAAATTATTTATGCATCTTTCTCATTCATATTAAACAATTATTGTCATAAAGAGACAAGGCAAAGAATAAAAATTAAAAAGTATCAAATTCTATCATACGACATATATTCCAACGTTGTTTCATAAGATAAACAGTCTATAGAGAAGAAACATTGATCGCTTGGAAATTTTCTATCTGCCATTACAATAGGAAAAATACATTTAGACGAGAAAGAAAAAGAGAAAAACATAATGAAATTTTTTTATGATGTTTTGAATTGGAATGATCACAAGATATTTTTCTGTACAATTCATACACTATTGTTTTTCTTTTGTATGTTTCTTGATATGTACACCAGCTTAGTATATATTTCATTTTATTGAATCTTTTATTACATTGTAATTACTTGTTTCTTTTGTAAGTTGTTATAGTATACGTTAACTGAATATATAATAACAAAGTTTATTTATAAATGAGCTTTTCATTGTTGTGTCTAGAATATGAAATGATCAGTAGCATAGCCCGGTATATGGTCAGCGGGCAAGTGTACACAAATTCAAAAGAAATCAGCCAAGGACTTTTTTTTGAAATGATACCAATTACCCAATGCGAAAAATTTTTGATACATACACATGCACAAAGACGTAAGTGGTGTCATTTCATCCGTTGTATCTGTTTGCGATCTAACCAAGTGATCCAAACAGGGTGTGAGCGTGGATTTATCTATTCATCTCACACATACCCGTACCCAGATTCACACAACACCTACACCCCACATCCAGAACACGGTTTTTTAGACAGTGAAAACGCCATCTGTTTGTTGATTTGACAATTAGAAAATAGAAGAAAAAAAAGAGCAAAACAGTAAGAAAATATGCCGCAATGGTAATAAACGAACATACTCATCTTGTGCAAAAAATGAAAATAATATAAAGAAATTTCTCATTACTCATATTATGCTTTATTATGAAAAAATAAGTTGACAAACAAAAATGCCTTAATAATGTTGGAAAATACGAAATGATCATTTTCAATTGATTAAAGAAATCATACCGACTGTCGAGAAAATCAACTACCAAACCATAACTATACATTTTTACTGCGATTAAATCAAATCAAGTGACTTTTTTTTTCTACTGATCAAGCGATTTAAATGAACCAGTTCTAAGCATATTGTGAGTGATTTAACACAAAAATAATCATTCAATACATAAAAATCTTTTTTATGTACTCTTTCCTTCAAGAATATCACGCATCAATGAACTTTCTTCTGTTTAGAAATTACCAATTTTCTCTTTTAATTTACATTTTGTTGAACACTATTGTTCAGAGTTAAACTTCTATTTTGAAAATTGTTTTTTGTCACTCTTAAAAAAGTGTCCTCTTTCTAGAAAAAAAAGTCGAAAAGTAACTTATACTTTAGACAAATTATACGGAAACAATTATTACTCAGCAAAAAATTAGAAATATTACATTAGTTCTTTTCACTTATAGCGATCTCATCATGAATACTGGAAATATTCTAAGCATAAGAATGAAAATTTTCAATGTATGATCTATCAATTCATTCAAAATGGTAACTATTCATAGAGATTGCAATCATAAATCTTGAAATTAAATTATTATAAGTGTTTTATAGAGAAGGTTTTATTATAGAATAGTTCAAACGGAAGTCACAAATGAGTTTTTTCTGTGCATTCTCGATAGCATTGAAGGAAAGACTAAGTTGAATCATCTTTATCAATATTTTTCTCGCTCATAAGCTGCAATAAGTTGAAAGTAGGATGAACAGTGTAAANGAATAAAAAAAGTGTTGGTTGTTTTCTTTTCTACATTCATATTTTCTCCTAATAATCTGTTATTTATGTATCTAAATCTGCTCTATAATAAAGTTTTTTTTGACAAACTGATCTATAAGTAGTTAGGCACTATTCCTGATTAGTATGACGAAAAATCGCATCAAATGATATAATCTATTTTTCGTTGATTAAGCAGAATTTATTTTTTCGACGAAACGGGAATGGAAGAAAGATAACTTTTCGACGAGACGGGACCTAATCGTTTGTTGATATTATACAATACGAAAAAAATGTTTATCTAATGAGTAGAATCACTATTGATTACTTTGCAGACAGAATAGTAATAAATGTCTAGAAACGAAAGAAATCATTCGAAAAAAATAGTCTCTCGTAGCGAAAAATGGGACACATGATTGAATAAATTCCGCCTCATTAATTCTGATTGATGACATCTACTACTGAAAAGGTATTTTTGCGATTAAAATAATGTCTATCTAATGATATAAAACAGATACAATTTTTTTTCGTCATATACAAATTTCTATATTAAAACATCGTCGTGGTTCGTACAATCGGAAATATATGTAATTAAGTCATATCGTCTCACAATTTTTAGGACAAAATACCTATGAGAGAACATAGAGCCGCAACTAAATAAAGGAAAGGAGGAAAAAAACAGCAGAGCCCTCAAAGACGTCCTTTTCTATCAAACGTTTCAATGAAAATTTTGTACATATACAAGGTTACCAGTGATTAATCAACGCGTTTTAATTACTATTGATCAATTGAGTCATGTTTACTTCCTTTTTTCCTTTTCAATCTTGTATTTGTTTATCGATCACAATATTTTTCGATAAAGTCATTTATATTTGCATAAATATTACATATATATATGTGATGTATAGTTTTCGAGAAGACTAGACTAGAATTATTATTTTAAAAAAACTATCTATGCCCACTGATACAGCTAGTAATAACAATTCAAGCATTCAATTAGAAAATGGTGCTTATCAACGAGTACCGTCTTGTATTGAAGTTTTCTTCAAACAACTGATTGAACGTAAACCAATGAAAAAATTACAAATTGAAATTGAGACAAACAATAAATTGAGACGTGATCTAAATTGGATTCAATTGCTTGCTATGGGTCTTGGTTCCATTATTGGTGAGTGACATTGAAAATAATACATGTAATAATAGTTTTGAACCGTCTTGTCAGGTGCCGGAATATTTGTATTGAGCGGACAAGCCGCTGCAAAATATTCTGGCCCATCAATCATCATTTCGTTTGTTATAACAGGAGTTATTGCTTTATTGTCGTCTTTATCATACTCAGAATTAGCAGCAATGATGCCTAGTTCTGGATCAGTTTACACATATACTTATGCAGGTGAGTTGATGATCCTATATGTATCTCGTTTTCATGAATTTTTTTTTTATTGTTTTAGCCTTGGGAGGTAGACAATCAAAAGTATTGCTATAATAAATGACTTGGTTTTTTCTTATTCGTTGTAGAATATTTCGCATGGTTTATTGGATGGAATTCCGCACTACTTTATCTGTTTGGTATGTTGACAGTGTCAGTTGCTTGGAGCAAGCAGGTTACCCTGTTTGTTGATATTGTGTCTGATTATAATGTATCAAGCATGATTGTTGAAGCGCCATTGTATTGGAACGAAGACGCTGAACGTTTTTTTGTTACCGGTCAAGTGATTAATTTACCTGCTATTGCAATTACTATTGTAATTACAATTCTTCTTATGATTCGAATTCGCCAAACAGCTATAGTAAATCTCGTGTTGGTTGCGTTTAAAATTATAATACTTTTGATATTTATTTTTGCCTGTTGTAAGTATGTCAATCCCAATAATTATCATCCACTTTTTCTACCCAATAAAGGTATATGGTTGCGTTATTAATATATCTGAGAAATGAACGAGTTTTGTTGTGTCATTTAGGTTCGTTTAGTGAATATGGAGTAACAGGCATGCTACAAGCCTGTACTTATGTTTTCTTTGCATATGTGGGTTTTGATTCAGTTTCAACAGTTGCACAAGAAGCGAAGTCATCACAAAGATCGCTGCCAATTGCCATTATTGGGTCAACAGTTGTTTCACTATTACTTTATATTGGAATATGTACTGTCATGGTTGGACTAGTTCCATACGACAAATTAAATTCAGATAGTCCTCTTTCTCAAGCAATGTAAGTCATTACGAATATTTTCGAGGCTATCAGCGATCTTTATTGTATTCTTTTCTAGAAAAGCTACACCTTACGGTATTTGGTTATCAATCCTTATGGACTTGGGTGCTATCGCTAGTCTCACAACTGTAGCATTAATTGTAATGCTCTCACAAACTCGACTATTTTATGCAATGGCTCATGATGGCTTGCTACCACCAATCTTTGCTAGAATTCATTCTCAGACAACAACTCCATGGGCTTCTATATTAATTTGCGGTAACTAGTGTTTTAATACAGTTTGTACGATAAAACTTATCTGAAATTTTGTAGGTGTATTTTGTGCTATTTTTTCGGGTATCTGTCCAGTAGATATTCTTGGTGAAACAACTTCAATTAGTGCCCTAGTTACATATATTTTCGTGCATATTACGGTTATAGTCGTAAGCTCCATTAATCCGTTTATCTATTCTGTTATCTGAAATGTCTTTTATAGATGCGCTATACACATAGAGATATGCAACGATCATTTCAAGTGCCATTTGGTTCATGGCTGATTCCGACTATAGGTACTTTACTTTGTATACTTCTTATGAAAGGTATAACAAAAGCAACAGGTTTTCGATTCCTTGTGTGGACAGCATTAGGTCAAATTATTTATTTTTCCTATGGTTTTTGGCATTCTAAACAACGAAAATTATTAAGAAATGAATTAAATTTAAGTACGATCGACCTTGTCCCAACTATTTCAAGTGCTGTGGAACAACGTATGGAAAATGGGTTTTAATTGGATTTAATTACTGAGGATAGTGAAAGTGCAGTATAAAAACTTCCTTTACTAACACTTGTAGACATAAAAATAAAATACTTGAATTAAACAAAGAGTTAAATTATAACATTTTTTTTTAATTTGATGTAACATAATAAATAGTTCTATATTTAGTATATAAGTATTTTATTGTAATATTTGGTTTGAGACTACATAATCTCTACTGTCTTTTGGAATATTGTTTATTAGAATTTCTGAATAGAACAATATTGATTTTTTCGTGAATGTGTTTGTGCAATAAAGTATTCGATTTGATTTAAATAATCAACTGGAAGAACTTTTCTTGAAAATGGAATGTATTCTTTTATCTTCTCAGTATTATTTCAAAAAAAAGCATGATATCATATGTTGAGGGTAGAATGGATAATAAAAATATAGATTTTGCAAGTTTTAATTAAATTTTCTCAGATGAAATTAATCGATGAGAGAAAAAATCGATCTAAAATTATATGGTGTAGTCCAAAAAAAGAAGTACTTTGGATTTTATTTCTTGTTACAACATTAATTCTTAAACTGAAACATGACATAAAACATATCATAGATAAATTGCAGTAAATTTTTGAGAGGAGATCAATTTTTTTTCTTGTTAAAGAATAACTTCTGTAAATCTTTCTATTTTGTTTTGATATCTAAACGATTTCTGCAAGCGTCTGATAATTCAGAAAAGTCTTAAAAGTAAAATATTTTACATCGAAAGATACAGTTCTCCTGATCACGAAGTTTTGTCTTCAATAGAAATAAACTTACACTATTCGATAGAGCTAATCGAATTACATCCATCGAACTGTTTCATCAATGATTCAAGTAGTGTAGTGAATAGTCACAGAAAAGCATTCTTTGATGGTTTACCCATTTAATAGAAAATCAATATTCTAGCTTTTATGTGTGTTGGTTATCTTTCATAAAAAGAAACATGAATGCATCATTTGATAGACCTTGGAAAACTACACCTCACTTCCAGCATTTCTCAGTTGGTTTGGTGAATTAAGTGAATCATGCTAGTAAAAAATTGAATCAGCTGGTAACTCCCTTTATCTGATGATTGTATGTATCGGTGTCATCAGTATAACAAGTGAATGGATGAATATAGAAATAAGGTATTAGACATTATTCATTTAATAAACTATAATATAATCAATCTACTATAAATAATGACAAAAAAAAGTTGTTTATTGGTCACCAATAGGAAAAATGATATTTCTTTTTTGTTTATATCTAATAGGATAGAACAGCTGGTTATAATGATTATATCATTCATTGTAATGAATGAATATCAACTACAAAATGGACTTTTCCAGTACAAGCTGTGTCAAACAATTGTATAAAGAATAGTTTGTTTAGCAACAAAGGACTTTTCTATCATTATTATAATCAAATAGTTACTATCTTTTTATGAAAGTAATGTCATAGTATGAAGATACTTAATTGACGCGTGTTTTCGAGTTATTTTTTTCTTGTTAATACAATATCCATTCTTGTCAATAGAACATTATGATCATCAAAAAATACTCGAAGCTTTGATCTATTCATATAATCAGCTTACTTATCATTCGATAATTCTTTATACTATTCTCAAAACAGGAATAAATATAGATATACTGTCATATAAAATGTTTATGATCAAAACCTCATAAATTATTTTCTATTTTATTAAAATGTTTATCTCATTGAGAGACTTAAGATTAACTTTGTATATCAAAATAACAAGAAAACAACTCATTGTGCTTTCAGAAATGAGAAAAGACACAATATCTTACATAGAAAATTAATTAGGCATTTGTTGTTTTTTTTTTTGTAACAACAAGAATAAAAAGTTTCGGAGAATACTACACAGAAAATTACAATTTTACTCTATTAGCATTTGATTTATCAAAATTTTTCAATAAATGTATTGCAAGTAAAAAGAAGCAGCTCTTAGATTACTTTCACCTCAATGATTCATTAGAAATATGATAAAAACATTCTTTATACGTAAATGTATAGTATGCATTTGATATTAACGAGATATATGAAACAAAAAATGCAATAAACACAAATCAGCGTAATGAATGCCAATGCATCGAACAGTCAATTGACATTTTTTTTATAATAATCGATTGTTACTGTTGTTTTTTTCAAACAATGCGGAAGCATTTATATGATTAATTAAAGTTTGAAAATGTTTAAAGAATAAAATCAAATATCCAATGTAGATTTTATGCAAATAACGATGATTGTGAACCATAATGAATTTCTAGAACAAAGTGAATTTTTTTCCTAAAACTATTTCAATATCTTTATTTGATGTTTTCGATATAATATCTATTCGATATTTTTCTTCAGAATTTTTTAATAATGACTGACCATTAACTAAAATAATTGTCATTGCATTAATGTCAATATTAATTTCATTAGGATCAATAGATAATGGCTCATGTGTTATTTCAATAGCATCAAGAAAATTTGACTTACGAAGAAACATTGCCAACTGTTAATCACTAATCGAACCGATATTTTACCCGTAAATAAGACTCAGTGAGACTAGGAGAGACCTATGAGAACAAATCCTTTTAGGCTTTTCCTAGTCTCATTGAGTCCTACTTACGGGAAAAATATCGCTTCGATAGATGATTAACAGTTGGCAATGTTTCCTCGTAAGTCAACTTTCATGGGTTAAGGTATATCTAGTAGCAGTTGCCGAATAGAAATTTTCTTTGCCTTAACTGTTGTAGTACATGGGTAGTATTGACTCTACCTATACAGAATGAAGGGTTATTATGCATACTGTTTA